TCACATCCATGCCTCCTTACTAAAAAAAGGGCTTGTTGTAAATACCAGATCCTCTTTTGATTCCACAGCAGGATGGTCAGCAGATGCAAGGAAGGACAGGACGAGGGGAACGGCTTTAACCTGCCCAAGGGGAGACTGAGATGAGCTCTTAGGCACCAGCTCTTCACTGTAATGGTGGTAAGGTGCTGGCACAGGGTGCCCAGAGAAGCTGTGGCTGCCTCATCCCTGGCAGTGTTCAAGGCCAGGTTGGACACAGGGGCTTGGAGCAAGCTGCTCTAGTGGAAGGTGTCCCTGCCTGTGGCAGGGGTTGGAGCTGGAGGAGCTTTAAGGTCCCTTCCAACCCATATGGCTATTTCTGACCTGGGTTTGCACCCACAAATTATGACCACTGAGACCATTCTCAGGATGGAGCTGACAAATACCATTTTTGGAGACACCTCCTGCACACACTGTGATGATCTGCTCTGCTCTACCAACACTATGGGTAAAAAACCTTTGCCGATGGCTGCAGCCTCTCTGCTCCCACCGGCAGGAGCTGCTGGAGCCATCTCCTTGCTGCTGTTGTGAGACCATGGTGCTGATGCCTTTGTTGGCCAGTTCGGATGAATGAGCTTGGCTGCAGGGTCTGGATGTCACAGCACGAATGAGACACGTTTAACAGCATGGCAGCATGAAACTCACTGTCGAGTGCTTAAACTGCTGGGAGTCTTCAGCTGGAATGTAATATCATAAGTGCTTAGCAGGGCTGGAGAGCCTTTGCACTGCCCTAACCACCAACACACCTAACAGCAGCCAGAGCTTTTGCTTGTGGGTGAGGGACTGTATTAAAACAAAGAGCTTTCCAAATGCAGACGAGTCCAGCAGAAGACTCCACTGTGAAGCCACTAGATGCAGTTTATCCTCCCCAGCATGACCAGTTGGGGAAGCAGCATCCGTTGCCATCTGAGCAAGAGAGAGGTTTTCCTTGCTTACTGTGCTGCATCCTTCCTTGTCTTTCTAAAACCTTTTCCTGGTTTGTAATATCCCGATGTTAAAATGCCACTCTGCTGGATGCCTTCATTTCATGGATAATCGAATCTGCCAGCCTTGGGATGGGCCAGGAAAGAGCAAAGCCCAGTTTAAGTGTTAAAAGTACTAAAAATCAAGCACATCCATAATACGCATTACAACTGGGAGAGGTGGTAACTTCTCATGTGTCATAAACCAAGCAAGTCTGATAGCATAAACTGTATAAATAGAGCTTATTTCTCTATCACTACGTGCATAACATCTCACAGGAATCAGATGGGAAAAGCCAAGAGAAATGACATTTTAATTTCAACAGTGCAGACATGCTTTGTTTTCATTTGGCATTTTCCTTTTCCAATTTGCTTTGCTCGAGTTTTATTTTAAACCAGTGTATTTGGTTTATATTTACATATTTCCAATGAACATGTCATTATTCCATTTAATAGCTTAGGCTACATTTCACACTGCAACTCAAATGATAACATCAAAATGAATCAGTCCCTCCGGCACATCCATGTAAATGACCCAGAAGAATGTGAAGGTTTTCTGGGGAAAAAAGGGAAATCAAACTTCAGAGGTCTCAAGACTTTTCCAGACTTCCAATAGAGCTCAAAATGAAGCACAGTGCTTGTATCCATGGACCGTTCTTAGAAGCGATGGGAAGATGCTGGCCACGTTACACCAGTTGAGGCAGCAGAGCAAGAAGAGGTTTGGCATGGGACAAGCAGCCAAACGCTAGTAGTTTGCTACTGTGTAAGATGTGTATTTCATTCTAAACACACCTGGTATAGCTCTAACAGCTTCCTCACCCTCCAGCCACCATCAAACTCCAGAGTTTAGCAAAATGCTCAGTAACTTTCTTGTCTTTCTCTTTGATGTTCCCAGGTGGGTGTTTTGGAGCTGGATTCGCAGCCTCCATTCGTCAAATGCTCAGAGAAATGGTGACAAAAGCTGCCATTTAGTCAAAGCTCCAATTCTCATATTTTATCCCCACGGTATTTCTATTTCAGGTTGTTACAGGGAGTGCAGGAGTCCCTTCCCGCCTGCTTCATTACCAGAAATTATATTTACTGCAGCACCACCATGTAGCAAAAGTGATATTTACAGCAGTGGGATCAGTGCAAAGCATAAAAGAAATGATGTAAAGGGAGAAAGACTGGGGAGGAATGAATGGCTTTAAGTATAACCTTTTTGACAACTCAGGATCAAAAGAACTGCTGTTTATCCTTTGAGCTGCAAATGGCTGGCAAATATCCTTGCGCTTTGATGCTGTAAATAGTAAATGCTGTTTATGGGTAGTCAATGTTTATGCATTTTATGGGTCACATTTATTTCAGAGGGATCATTTTTTATTTGCTGTGTTAACCTTGCCCACATCTTCCCCTTGGGACTGAGTTGCCTCCTGGACACTATTCCTGGCTCTCCTGCTGACCACCTGCAAAACCTTGGGCAGCTCATGTCCTCCTTCTGTGTCTTGATTTCTCCACCAGCAACGTTGGCCTGGACCAGAAGTCCCTAAGGTTACATCTAACTTACTAAACTGCTTGAATGAAACATCAGTATAAGGATTGCCACTTGTAAAGATCCTGGGATCACAGTATCATAGAATGGCTGTGGTTGGAAGGGACCTTAAAGATGATCCCTTGATTCCATCAAGAGATGAAGGTCACTATGCGGGCTGCTCTTTTCTCTAAGGTGAATGAGCCAACATACCTGCTGGATGTAGGCAGCCATACAAAAAGGGGTATGAGTAGGAAGATGCAGCAAGAAAGACTCTGGAATCATCCAAGAAGAGAACTTCTTCGTAAAATTGCTTCCACGAGCAGAAATGCTACAGGAATCCTGTGGGCAGACACAGGGATGAGAGATCCACAGCTGGAGTCCGCGGGGGCATCTGGCCTGATGGATGGGTGTGCAGATGGAAAGCAAACAGGAACAAAAGGATTTGGGCTGATGCATGACCACCCTGCCAGTTTCTGTCATTCTGGGCTCACCACTGGGAACAGCGGTTGCAGTGACTTCATTTGAGTGGTACAAGTGAATAATCATCTTAATGAAGATGTCTGCAGGAGAGCTGAAATAAAACATGTCTTTTTTAATGATGTTTGATTTGTGCATTTATCATGGTGCCTGTCCCGGGCTCCAGGCACAGAATCCTGGAAGGTTTATAGGTGTCATTCAAACCAGCAGGAACCAAGGCAGGAGTCAAACCAAGAAAGGCAGCACGGTCCCTGTGGTGCAGGACAGCCTGCAGTGACAGGCTCCTGGAGCAACGCCACACATCCATCACCCGGGATTCCCTCTGCTGCTCCAGGGCCAGTCGGGATGTTGGCTTACGTCAGCTCAAGAAGATGCCAGGGAATGCTGCCAAGTTGCTGTCTTTGCCCTCTTCAAAGTCTATTTATACCCGGTCATGGACATCAGAATACCCTAGGGGTAGGAGAGACCTTTCCATCATAGTGGACGCTATGACTTGATCTGCCTGGTTTCGAGCACTGTTGCATTATGCATTCTTTTTGCCAAGTTGCCAGCAGCTCCATCATGTTTCTGGATGCCATTTCAAAGTCTGATAGAAGCCGGCACCAGAAAAATGCTTCCTATCCTCTCCGGGCTTTACTGACACTGTTCTCTGCCAGCTTCGGGGCTGTTTAACATCCAGGAAGATTTGTAGAATAAGGAATTTTACGGAGTTTCCATGTCAAAAAGTGTCTTACAAAAAGGTGTGTCCCGGGTTGCTGGAGCAATCCATGCTGGTTACCTCCACCAGGAAACGTTGCCCATCAGTGGACAGGTTTATCTAACAGTTGACTAAAAGGCTGTGAATGGTGCACGGGAGCACTTCCAGCATGTAACTGGGGTTTGTAGCATTGCCCAAGGCTGAGGGAAGGAGCCTCAAGGAGGCTCTCCTGTGTCAATAAAATGGAACACTGCTGCAATGGCACAGAGCAAAACTCCATCTCATCCAGGTATGAGGACTACCTGCCAGTCCCTGGGGATTTACTTAGACCTTCAGAGGTTTTTCTTGCCTGGTTTTGAGACAAGACCAGGATCATTCTCACCATTTGTGCCATTTCCTTCCCTTCTTTGACCGGTTCCATGATATTCCATGAGTTATTTCCTTTTTCTTCATGCCTCAGTTTCCCTTCATCAAAGAATAGCTGCTCATTTCTCATCTGCATTGCAAAAGTAAAAGCAATGTGTGGACCAGCATTAGGCATATTTGTGTGAATTGGTTTTCAGCCTGTAGTGGAGAAACTCACATCAGTAAATCAGTTTAGAGAAGAGAAAACAGTATAACAGTAGCATATTAAAAGAGTCTTTTATCAGTCTCAAAACCAGCATTGATAGCACCATCGTCTGACTTATTAACAGGCTTGGAACAGCTTGTGCTCAGTTTGTGTTGGCCAAAGCATCTAACATAGCAGAAAACCAAAACCACTTCCCGTCTAGAACTCGGCCCCTGACCTGGCTGGAAACTCACAATAAATCTATACATTTTATCGGATTTCAAGGGGTTTTGAGCCAAACTTCCACAGCAAACTGTTCTGAGTCCTGGAGAGAAAACACTGCAAGAAGCAGAAGGATCGTCTGGCTTAAGAAACACGAAACATCAGGTTCATTTAGAAGATCAGGTGTGTACCCGAAGGCTTGACTCCTCATACACATTGAAACAAACCCCATCACTGCAAGCCATGTGTTGAAAGTACTTTAGCTGTATTATCATAGTCAATTAAAACAAGAGGCTTAAGGAATGTTTAACCCTGCTGCAGTAACTAAATAGCCAAGAGCATTATTAATGGGAATTTAATAGGGGGTAGAATTTGAACCATTTATAAGAGAGGGAAATTGATTTTAAACACAATTCAATTGGCTTACATGGAGTAACCCTCTTCTGGTTAGAGGTGAACTAGATGCCCTCTAAGGTCCCTTTCAACCCAAACCTGCCTATGATTCTAAGGCAGCATCATTCAGAAATCACACAGCAAAGCATCGAAGCCATTAACTTCTTTTTAATTAAAACCCATCTTTCAAGTCACACTAAAAGCAAAAAAAAAAAAGGCAAACACTCAGGTATAAAATGGCAGAGCAATACTGTGACAATCCCAGCTCGCTGTTGTGTACTCTGGAGTACACACTATTAATCACCATCATAAGCAGACAGGATGAGAGCTGCATCATCATTCATTTGAAATCTTCATTCTTCAGCTGATCCATTTCCCATAGGGTCCTCATTAAAGGATGCTGGTTAGCGTAGCTTCAGGGTAGGACTGTCTCAGTGAAAAGCTTCTTGCTTGTTTTCCCCCCATTACACATCTTAAATGTCTCAGCTGCTGATTTAGATGTGAGACAGATGAGAAACAGCATCTTGCTGTCATAAAGTAAGCCTGATGAGGGATTCAGGCCAGTGCCTACACTTCACATTAGCCAGATGTCAGAGGCCAGTGATGGGAACCCCTGTGGTGCCTGGTGCCAAGTTAGTTAAAATTAGCACTGCAACTTGATAGTACCAAAAGTCGAAACTGCCAGTGTAGAACAAGTCACCAACTCCAGTGGGTCACCACCACTGTAGGCTCATAAAGAGAGCTGGACTGTAATAAGCATGATATTGCTATAAAGTGAGGACTTTTCAATGAGACTATCTGACAGAAGGGGTAAGGGCCACCAATAGCAATGCAGATGTCATCTTCTCCTCATGAGTGAAGCTTAGATTGCTACGTAGGGTGGTGGGGATTCCTTGGAAGGCAGCTCTAAGGCTTCCTCATACGATGGCAGCACAACCTGAAAGAGAAGACCGTTAGTTATGGGGATCACATGAAGGGATTCAACAAGTGATATATTCCCATTTATCTGCCTTGCCTGAAGCCTGAGTTTCAGGTTCCTGCAGATACCATTGGCACTGAAAGATCTTATACAAAAGTTAAAGGAATATAATACATTTGGAAAAGTAAACCTATTAATGCACATTTGAAGGGCTGAACAATCTCCCAGGCAGCTAAAGAAGCAAAAGTAAGGACCATCATGTATTTCATCAGCCTAAACCGTGCCCTTTCATCATGTAGATCTGAAGCAGTCTTTACTCACCTTTTCAATTGCTTGAGGGTCAACTTTTACCTCCTCTCTCTTGCTGGCTTTAATATACTTAAAGCAGCTCAGGACACATTTGAACATACAGGCCTGGAAAGGAAAGGGAAGTCTGCCATCACATTGCACATCAATAAGAGCATTTCTACTTTGGCCATCAGCCTGCTATTGTCCTGCTCTCTTCTCTGGAGGTAGAAGCATGGGACCATGTGTCTCAGGACCTTAAGAGAGTTTCTCTTCATCCTTCATTAGAAGGGTGACAACTCCATCTATTCAGAACAATACACTGGTGTGGGAAGTCGAGAGGACTGGTAATACCATTAAGTATAAAGCACATGCTTAAGACCTCAAGGAGTGCAATGTCATCACATAGGAAAGGAAAGCATGTCTTTCATGTTATTTGGATGTCTCAGAAAGGCACCTTGGGCACGACATCCACTTCCCAGAGATCCAAGGCTCCCTGGTCAACTAAGACTGACGTGAAAGGTCAGCTCATTCAACAAAATCCTCTATATATATCCTACCTTATACTTGCAATAGTTACACTTTCCTGACAAGGCTGCTTTACACCTCCCTGATGCAATAAATAGAGCTTTTCTGGGAGAAATGAATCGATTGACAGGTTGTGGTAGAAGAAAATAAGCCAGGCTTGTGAAACACACCATATTAAATAAATATTTTCCCTACTCTGTGCAGCGAGGCAGAGTCGTGTGCCTCTTGTTTTCATTGGCCTAAGAGCCTGCTTTAAAAACAGTTGGCATTTTCAAAGGAACACAGGGAGTTATATGCCCCAAGAGCAAGCCATAAAGCTTAGGACTTCTTAGAACAATGAGGACTGTTTGTCTTGACACAAAGCCAAGATAAAGAATGAGAATAAGGAATGAAGTATCTGAGTTGAAGGAATCCGTCTCTCAAACAAACTTCCAGAGATAAGGAGGCAAATTCAAGCTTTGACCCCCACTAGGGAATACTGCAGAATCCTTCCTGTTCCAAAAGCCTCCCTATACAGAGAGCGAGCTATTTCAGAAGTAATTATGCTAAAGCCTTACTTTAATTTCTCATCAGAAAATGTTTTATTCCCCTTGGTTTCTGCATTCTTACCACCATGGAGGGGCGTGGGTTTATGATACTCAAATGAGATAAGGATAATTTGTGAATACAGAGATCAGAAAGGGAAACTGCCCTGAAGGTGCTTTGTAAGCATCACTCCATCACTCTCTCTGCCCTTTGAATACTTTGCATGTCCAAGGAGCTTAGACTTGAACAACTGATTGTATCACCATTGGGGGTCTACAAGTATATATACACCCAGCTACCACACTGGTAAGGAGCTGTGAAGTTGCATGGAGAGACTTCCACTTTGCAAAAAGGGTGGTGTTACATGAAAGAAACGAGGAAGAGGAGCATTACCATCCCTCTAGCATCATCAGAGAATCTTCTTCTAAACGGGACAGCCAAGCCTTGCAGGTCTCATACAAGGTCACTGGCAGGGGTGCTCAGTGAGTCAGGTGCCCCATCACTTCTCCATCTGACAGACCACCTTCTAGCTGGATTATGCTATGGTACTGGATGCAGAGAACTATTTGGGGACAGTAATTGCCACTTGGCAGGCAAACAGCACCAGATACACAGAAACAGCAATTTAGTGTTAGAGCAATAAATGCTTGTGATAGGTCATTAAGCAAGTCAATTTATGCAAAGAGATCCTGGGCTAGTCCAACATATTTACATACCACCTTGGTGTGGGCATTGAATTGAAACCAATGTGCCCTAAATTGGCCAAATGGCCTTTTTAGGTCTCAAAATCTTTATCACTTGGAAGGAACTCTCCAATGAAAATGGTTTTGCTACACATGGAAGAGGGGAGGAATTGTCATTGAATTTAAGGGATGGGGTTCCTAATGACTTGTTTGAGGGAGCATTTATGCTTGTCCATTGTTTCTTTTATTATCCTCCCCTCATCCCTTCTCCTGCAAACTCCAGCACAAGAAGCCGTTGCGAATTAAGCAGTCTTGTAGCTAATGCTGTGGAAAATGCAAATCAACCAATTTGCCAGGTCAGAGAGATTTGTGCTGAAGACCCGTGGTGCCAGCTGGGTTTCAGGGTTATCTCCACTCCTATTGCGCAGTTTATGCAAATATTAAAAGATGCTAAAGTAATGTCTGCAGTGCAATCATGCAAGACATTCCACTCCACCCTGCCTTGTCCGACCACCTGGGAAGAGTCTGAATAAAACTGCTTTCCAACTAACAAGTAGCATTTTTCACTGTGACAGAATCTGCTCAAGTACCTGGAAAGATCTGGTTTTCTTACCTGGTTTGAAAGCCCTCAGTGAAAACCCTGTTCTCTGACCCACTGAAGCAAGAAGAATAGAAACCATTTCACCAGTGGAGTTTTCAGAGGTGTAAGCAGAAGTCAGCAGCTCATGGGTTTTAATTAAATTTCAGGGTATCAGTGTGCATAACTCTGCTTACATCAGTGCGGAAACAGCGACTTATCCAAGTGGAAGATCTAACCTGCTGCTTAATGATCTAACTTATTTTGGCACATGACAGCAGAAGAGTTTCTTATATTTGTTTTCAAACATCCTTTTAGAGATGAATGGATGGGAACTTGCATCTGCAGAAGCATAAAACCAGTGATTTGAATATTAGACCTGCCTCACATAATATGCTGAGGCATAGCTCCTATTATACCCAGGGAGAGACCGACAAGGCTTTCCAATGCCCTGGTAGATTTAAGAGAGAAGAAAGACCAGTTCTTCCTATCCCCCAGGCAAGAGAGCTTCATTTCAGCCTCACCAGACCCTGCAGCCATTTACCTTCAGGAAGAGGACAGCAATGAATGCAACGGTGAAGGTGACCATCACTTTGGCATATTCCTCTGTTGGTGACTTCTCCACAGCTGGCAATAAGCTCTGTGAAAAGAAGGAGAGGGACTCAGTAATGAATGCTTGCTCCCTCTACCAGGGTTACACAACGTGGTGGAGGTCTCAGCAGGTTTCTCAGCCTGCCTCTCAGAAAGGTGGGACAGGCCACCTTCTTTTCCTCATTGGAAAAAGCAGGGATGTTTTTTATCTCCTGCTGTTCACACTCCTTTGGCAAAGGTTTTCAGGAGACTATTTAAATGAGAACTCAAAGTATGACTGTTTAATAAAGATGAAAAGTTTATGCATTTTCAATGCGGGCTTGCGGGCTCCATCCAAATCATTTTGCTCTGCAATTTGCATCCATAAGATTCTTAAGAGAAAAACAAGGTGTACTTTTAAGAAACACCGGCATAAGCAAGCTGTCAGTCAAGAACACGGTGTTGGTGAGAATATACAGAAAAATCCTCTTTTGTCACCAAACAGAGCAGTTCTGGGTATACCGTTTAGATCAGAGAAAGTTTACCCTGTCTTCACAGCCGCTGAAAGGAGCTTCATAGGAGGTCTCAGCATGAAAACCCAGCTGAGCTTGCTCCTAACCTACCCCATTGTCTGAAGACTTGAGGCTGAGATAGGTGGGGACCTCCATGTAAGAGCTGCAGAGAGTGAGAATACTCAGGCAGAAGTCCAGCAGCTGCAGAGCCAGGAAAGGGATCTTCGAGTGTCCCTGCTGCAAGAAGGGAACAGGAATTTGGTTATCACTACGAGACTGTGACACTTCTATAGATCCTCCACATTTTACACAGGGCCTGTTCTTTGTTCACATTGAGCCTAAGCTATTTAATTTACCCAAAATGATGGGCTGATTGACGCAAGCTCCACAGGAGAGGCCTCTAGCTGGGTGGTGATAATCCCTTCTTAGCATGGGCACATCCAGAACGACCTTCCCAAAGCCATGAGACAGACAATAAAATCATCAGGAAGATCCCCAGACATGGGAAGCTGAACAATGTCCCAGCTGGCACTAGCTCTCCTTATGCACCCTGGAGCCCCCAAGGACTGAATCCTGCCTCCAGCCAGTATAGAAACTACCTTGCCGTGAAGAGCCATGGCCCAAGGTAATGATCCTTCATCCCTACATTATGCATTAGCTTCCATCTAATAGAGGACAGAGGAAACCACCCCAGAAGTGAGCTGTTACCTACCGCATGGCTAAGGGAGGACACAGAAATGATTGCAGGGACTTGTATGTAGGAACTGAACATTGTTAGGAGGCTGAGGAGAAAGTCCATGACTTGTAGAGCAAGGAATGGGATCAGGAGACGTTCCCTCTTCTGAGACAGAAAAGCAATGCCAGTTATTTCTATTCTGAATAGGAGAATGAGACCAGCTATCAATAAGTGAAAGGACATATATATTAAGGTACTCCAAAAATAAAGTTTCCTGGAATTCTGCACCTAATCCCACATACTGTGGTGGCAACAGACTAGGAAAAACTGAAGGCCACCAACACTGAATTTTTTAATCCCCTTGGAGAGTTTCTGTGAATTTTCGCTGTATGACATTAGCAATCGATCCCATCAGCTGTCATTCAGCTGTCCCCAAAGTTTACTATGACAGAGAAGGCTGGGTTCCTACACCAGTGCAGGGTTGTTTCTTCTCCTGACATGGGGAAGGAATCCCCAGTGCGATCGGGGAGTTAGAGTGCTCCTGAAGGATCCAACTTGGATCTTGACAGCAAGGAAATGAGGCAATAAAGCGTCACTTCGAAATCATAACATTTCCATTCCTTAATGTGAAAAATAATCTTGATGGAAGCATCACTGAGATGTGGTCAATCTGGCAGCTAGCAGCCTTGTAGAGGAGCTTGAGACTGCAAACCAGCCACCTTCCCCCTCTATAAGAGAGCAGATATATTACTTGCTTTTCTGATCATTCTTCAGCATTTCCATTGAGCATCCTCTAGTCCCCTCCTCTAACACCTCCTCCCTCAAAGAGCCCTCAGCCAGCAGCTAAATGCCATTGTGGAGAACATACCTTCACCACACCGAGCAGGAGGTTGAAGCTGATGATAAACAGCATGATGATCAACAGGAAACTGGTGAGAACATCAGCTAAAAGTAATAAAAGCGATTAGCACATCACTAAAAGCTTATTATGACAATTTTACCACTAAGGAAGAGCTAAAGCATGCTTGCATATGGAATCCTAGAATGGTTTGTGTTGGAAGGGACCTTAAAGCTCATCCAGTTCCAATCCCTCTGCCATGGGCAGGGACACCTTCCACTAGAGCAGGTTGCCCAAGCTTCCTCCTGAAGAGTTCCCAGGAGGCAGTTATCCCTCTTAGTATTGCAGACTGCCCCGATGATGACTACCAAAGCCTTGCGTGCACTGTGCTGTATGCATACACATTTGGTCTTTGTAGGGGCCTAGACAGTGTGAGGAGTATTGTAAAGTTGGTTTGCTGCTTAAGAAAAGGGAGCAGCTCACACCAAAGGCAAAATACTGCTATTTTCTTTATCTGTCTCTGCAGAGCATCGAGTCTGTCGCAGTGCCTCCTCCAGCTCGCTCTCCAATTTATTTCTTATTGCTTTACCTGAGCTTAAAATAGCAACTTGGGGGTCTCCAACTCTCAAGTGCTTGAATAAAGAGTATAATTTTATTAGAAAAAGAGCCAAGTTTTTAGCTTTTCTGATATTTTTTAAGGCAACCGATGCCTTCCATAGGTACATTTCTCAAACATCAGAAATATTTGATTACTTGGCATTACTCTCCCTCCCTGCCAGTTTATCCCATGGCTATTAAACAAATCTAGTGCCTGTTTTGTCCATTACCCCTTTCACATGCTTTCATAAAGAAATTGTGCTTTAGCCTGTCGGGTCCCTGACCTATTCCAGCTGCTCTGGTATCCTTCAGTGCTCCGCATTGCCCATTTTTTCCCCATGAAAATGCCCCTCATTTCCCCAGCTTTGAGTGAGCACAAGAAGCCTCTTCCTTTCTGGGGCTCAAGGGAAAACCCCTTTGAGGAGGCTGCATCCTTCAAAGAGGATAGAGAACAGCTTATCTCAAGAGAGGGAGCAGCACTGCATGAGTTGCTGCACATGGAGGTGTCAGACATTCAAGACTTAAGGGAGGACCAAAAGTACCCAACACTTGACATACATCAGGAAAAAAGAGACTAGAAAATAGCTTGTACTTATAACCCCCACAAATACAGGATCCATTTAGCACAAAATAATGAGAATTGAAATGCAGGAGTGGAAGAACTCTTGGGCCACAGCAAAGAAAGAAACCCCAAATCCAGCAACCCCTGAATGAGAACAGAGAGGGCAACAGAGAGAGGGCTTTGTGGCAGAAGAGGCTGCTTTGCAGCTCATGGGGGTCATGGGAAGAGCCTGTTTCAAGGCAGACAAACCAAACCCACCTTTCAGAAGCAGGAGGGTAGAGGCAAGGCTGAGATCTGGCTCACAAAACCCCAAAGTTTAGTTACTCAAAATAAAAACAGAGCTTACAAAGACAGACCCAGCCTTTGTAGGAACCGCTATAAAGAGAAACACTCCCATTAAACCCCAAACTGCCCAAAGCCATTTTCCCTGCTTTTCCTCCCAGAACCAACCAGCAGAAGCTTGCCCATGAGGGGATTTATCTCTTTAGCACAGTGTTTCCTCCAATTCAAGGCAGCTGTGTTTCTCTGCCTCTTCCTGCATGCTCTCCTGCTCCAGCTCTCTAGGCAGGCTTGCTAATTAATAGGGCAACAGGCTGTTGCTTCTGGAGGCTAATTGCAGCAGAACCCAGCTGAACTGTCCAAGCAGAACCTACATTAACCCCCCCCAACCAAGCTAACAAAGAAACAAAAGCCCACAGCCCTTCAGACACAAAGGGATGGGGACAAAAGGAAAACCAAGGGCAAACAACTTTCCACGCTCTCTCTACCCCCATGAGTTCACAGCAACCACTGCCAGCCTTTCCGCTGGGATGTTCCGTTCCAGGGATGTTTTAGTACCAATGGGTCTGATCTCAATAATCAAAGATTTCACTGAAACATAATGACTTCTTCCTTTGTGGGAGCACAGTCAGCAGATGGGCTAGAAGGGGTGACCCCCTTCCATAGTGGGACCTTCTGGCTCTTTGCTCAAGCCTCCATGAGATGGGAATACAGTCCATGTTCTAGAGAGGCCAAATGCATACGTTTCAAGGGCTGGCAAAGTGGCAAGAAAGCTTCAAGAACCAGCAGTGCTCCCTAAAGTGGGAGGCCACAGCAGACCCTAGAGACTAGTACTGTGACTAACGGGCTCTTTCCATGCCCAGCATCTGCTGTTCAAATATATAAGAACTTAATTTTTAAGTCTCTTCAGTATTTCCTTTCATGCTTAGTTGGCCTTTGTAGGATGAATGTTTCTCTCTTTTGGACTTAAAAACCCCCAGATAAGAGCAAAATTTAGGAATATGGAACCGAGCTTGAGCACCTGTATGATCTCAAACACAGGGGCATCATCCCACTGTTTTCCCCTCTGTTCTTCCTGCACATCCATCTGGGTTCCTGTCTCAGGATTTTTTCTTCTAGAACACCTTAAAAAGTACCAGAGTATTCAGGGTTTGTCTTTGTATAAGGGGTGTGTGCTCCTTAAGGGCTGTTATTTCAAGACAAGAGGCAATTGTTAGAATAAAGGAAATTCGACATAGACGGAAGGAAAAATCATACAGTAATGATGCGGTCTTGAGCAGGGATGCAGAAAGGTTGTGGAATTCCAATTTGGAAGAATCTGCAAACCTCAACTGGACAAAGCCTTGAGCAAACTGCCCCAGCTTTGGAGTCAACCCTGTTTCAAGCAGGAGGTTGGACTGGAGATCCCCAGAGATCCACCTTGCCTTTGCTCAGTGATTATTGGACCAGGCAGGGAGGAAGCATTGCTCCTCACAAGGCCTGTTTCACTCCCATAGCCCTGGAATTTCCTACCTACGAGAACAGTTCTGTTCCACAGCCCCCTCCATGCTGGCAGTGGTACTTTACTGCTGGCAGTGTGTGGTGAGATGTAGCCCTCTTTGAGGTGCACCTTTTCCTAAAAGCTTATAGGAATAAACAGGAGCAACAAATAAAGAAAGATGCTGGTTCTTAGGCTTTTTCTTACCCAATTCCTCTGAGACTACCTGAGGCTCCCAGGGAATTTAATGAGAGGAACACAGATGTGCTGTGAAGTAAATGCCGTTTTCCTTGGGGAGGTGGTGTAACCAGAATAGGGGCATATGACAGAGGCTCCGCAGAGCTGCACTAGACACTTGCAATGCTAGCAAGTAGTCCCCAAAAAACCCACCCATCCAACAGGAAAAGAGAGCATTTATTTGCCAAATGTCTATTTTTTATTAACTTCACACCAGGGTTTTTGCCCTGACTGTAGCCAGGAGGGACACTGAATGAGTTCTAGTATTTCTGATGAATGCAAAGAAACCCTTTCTGTTTTATAGCCCAATAAACTGGCATGGGGAATACAAACAGGGCTCATAAAGCTGCGGTATAACAGTTGCATTCACAGATTGTCAAGCATGGCAGCGTCTGATTCAGTGCTGCTGATAAGCTGCAGGGAGTTATTTCTGGACAGCCGCATTCAAAGGATGGGCAGGACCAGCAAGGGAATGAAGCATCCCAGTCCCTTCAACCAGATTTGGTTTTCAGCAGAGAAGGAGGCAATATCTTTTGCATAGGCAATGGTATGCATAGGATATGGTGTATGCTGTGCACACAGGTCTTCAGGCATAACTGAGGTGTTGTTCTTGGCTGGCTGGGCAGAAACTGGAACAACTTTTCCAGTTGTACTTTGTCCACAGCCTCTATTTTTATAGTCATTAATGAAAAATAAAAGTGATTAACATTGTGCATGGGCATGAATTGAAGACATCCTAAAGATCTGACCTACGGCAAGCAGTGGGGTGTAACGTTTTCAAGGCAGAAACCCATTCACATTAGCAGCTTAGAACTGGTAAGGAGGTGTTACTTGAAGTGTTTTTAAGGGGATTGCTTTTGGGGTTTATTTTTTCAGCAGGAAAAACTAGTCTGTCAAAGCTCAGGGGCTTTAGGAATGAAGCACTGCCAGGAAGGCTTTTGCTACGAAGACTTCTCACCTTCTCAGGATGGGATTTCTAATGGGCTGGAAATGGGGGAGGCTGCATGGCAAATGCTCATCCAAATTCCTGCTGTACATGAGATACAGCGTAGAGATGTGAACTGAATGCTTTCGGATTGCAACAGAATGCCCCCGGTTACCATGCAGCAGAGTCTGCCTCCTGCTCTCTCTGCCTGGCCAAACTAATCTTGTGTTATTTCTTAAACAGCAGTTAGCTAATAAATTCAGATCAACTTTAGGTCAGACAGCACCTTGGCATTGACCCCACGAGGGGTGGGTAAATCATCTTCAAGGCTCCCAGAGACAAAGAAGAACATGGGTCATCTTCCCAATTTAATCCAGCTTTTGCAGCAGGCCTTATGTTCATTTCTTGGTCAACTTTCATTGAGAAGCAGATTTCAGAGGAGCACTCTCAGTCCTGTGCTGCCTACGGCATCTTGTAAGCCAAGACGTGAGGAGAAGCAGGCTGCAAGAGACAGAGCATCCCTCTTCTGCTCTTCCAGTCACCCTTCCCATTACCCCAGCAATCCCAAAAACCTACAGTCCCAATTCTCCTTCCCATCCCTGACCATACCTGTGGAAGTCGAGGCGCATCCCATACCCTCTTTTAAAGGCAGCAAAACTTACTGCTGAGAAATCTTGAGGGAGCTCTGATTCCTTATAAAGAACTCCCACATGTATTCTTTCCCTACTGTATCACGTGCAAAGCATTTTCCCACAAACCTTATCTTGTTTATGCTCCTGGGCCATGATTACAGTGTTAGCATTCTATATTCTGAGAGGTGCTTTAATCTGGCAGGAGCTACAAATAGAGCAGCAGATGCTGAGGGCATCGACAGAACCTCTCCCCGAATTGTTCTCCAACTCATCCATCTGGGTTTTGAAGTCAAATTGAACTTTTTCTACTGATTTGCTGTATTGCCTCCCTGCTAGCTGCTGGAAATAGAAGGGTTGCACTGTGCTTATTCCAGCTATAATCAGAAAATACAATCTCCCGAGCAGAGCCTTTTGAAATGCTTGGGAAGAGAAGCCAAGTGGAAGTGCTGGGGATTTCATTAGAAAATGTTCCTTGTTGTGTAGGAGGCAATGGAAGAGGGGGAGGGGGAAGACCTGTCATTTTGATTGTGTGGGAAGGGGGGGGTGTGTGTTTAAAAATGAGGCCAATTTCATTCCCAACAGTTTTATTCTTAAAGAAAACCTTCCAGATTCACACGTCTTGCTTAGAAAGAGCGTAATGGATTTGTATGGAAATGATCTGAAAAATCTGTCTCAACAATTGGGTTTCTTTTTAGTTTAAAGAAGATTTTACTCAGATACCTACAGAAAAGTGAAAATTATTGCCCTTGGATGATCTTTCTGCAGAAAAATAATGAAAAACAATTGTCATTTTTACATAACTGCTTCTGTGGGCAAGTAGACTGATTTGCAAATGTAATGGCTGGTTTTCAGCAGTTCAGATCAGTGCAGTAGTCAGAATGCACGTGCAGACTCCACCACCAGGAAAAACTATTTCCAGCTATGCCCATGGCCCAGTCAGGTACCAGCAAAAAGCCAACCCCAAAAGAAGGGAGGAAGACCTCAAGGTCCCATTTGAATCATGTTCTTCGGTTTTCATCTGTAAAATTCAAACTAGAAATGTATTTTACAGGAATGGAAAAGTGGGTTCTCTGATGTTGTGATGATTCCAGATACCCAGAAAACAGCCAGGTTCTAGAGCATGTTGCATGTGTTGCATGTGTTGCATGTTGCCCTAATGGGAATGCCCCATAGAAAGCATTTTCCAAAGCAGTCATCGTGGCTGCTGAGTTGAGCCACAGCTGCAGAAGGACCTCTGTGGACCGCACCTAAGCAAAGTAACCTCCAGCCCACCCAGACTGGAATACTTTGGATGAAATGCCCCATGTGAAAGATGACAGCAGATCCTTGCTTGCTGTCCTACTAGGAGGACTCACCCAGATTTCCATCTTCTGCTCACTGTTGATGCCTTTAGAAACAGCCTTGGTGGATCACAGTGGTGCCTCCTAAAACCCAGCTGGGCTCTTTGTGAACCCATCTGTTAGCAATAACATCACCCAGACAGTGCCTGGTTTGGTTCTTTCTGCTATATCTAACTCCTACCCTGCGGACAAGTGAGATCTGCTGTTCTTGGTTTCCTTTTCCTCCACTTACAGGTCTCTTTGTGCATCCTGAAAGCCTGGGGAAGAACACACTGAGAAAGCAGGGAACAGGCAAGTCTTTGCTGCTGTGAGTTGCATTTTTCTCTATGAGCCTTCTCTGCAGGGCAGAGACAATGCAGGGTGTGGGAGCCTGGTTTCCTCCTTCCTGCACTCAGCAGAGAAGGGTTGTCTCAACTTGTGGTTTTATACTGAAAAGTGACTCAGAAAAGGGAAAAGTACCCCGTGTTTGTTGCTTCCAAGCAGCCTCACGCAGAATTAGCCTGCTTGAGTAATATTTGAGGTCTGGGGAGTTATGTTATTTTAAATGGCACCCCACGTGAGCTATCTGCCAGGTCTGTGAAAGCTAAGCTAGATCCTTCCAAACTCAAGCCATAGGAATTCAATCAACCATGAAGAATGTGATGCCTGTGAGTGTTTATGGGCTATGAAACAGCCTGGCTGCTCCATTCAGACAAGCAACGCTCTGCAAAAACACCAGGGGCTGGGAAAATCTGGGATGGGAGCCAAAGGGACAAGGGGGAAAAGGAGGTGGGTTGGTGGCATTCTCTGAAGTGCCTTCAGCTGTGAGGTGGGAGACCCCTGCATGGCATGATGGATGAGAGGATGGCTCTATGGCATAGAGGGCAGGGCAGTGGCAACATCAGGCAGCCCATTCACCTATGGGATGTAGTGTGGGGCTGTGATTTCTCCTCACTCCAGGACTCTTGGGTCACTGGTCAGACTCAGACCATTGAGGAGCTGGTCAGAAACTTCAGTGTTTTGCTGGAAAACGCCCAATATGTGAAGGAAGCCATCAGTGTGTGCAAGGCTTAAATGGTCTACAGTTGGTGAAAAGAAAGAGAAGGGAAAATAAAGATTGTCAGGTTAATGCAAAATGCATTGCAGAGAGAGTGGGAAACTGAAGGAGTATGAGGATACTGGAGAGTTTGGCGTCAGGACCTGATCCACTGAATGAAAGACACCTCCTCTGGGCTCCACATTGGTCTCCAAAAAGCCAACACAGCCAAAGCCTAAAACAAAATCCAGGTCTTTACAGCCTAAATTTTGTCTCTGGGTCTGAGCTTTTGCCCATCTATTGTGAAGAGCAGTTTACAATTTTCTTTGATGAAAGAGGGACCAACGCAGGACCTTGGGTTCCCTCTCAACCCCACAGACCCTTGCTGCTTTCCAGCATCCCAGTGACCTACCAATTCTGTAGTAATCCTTGTCCAGGTCTTTGCAAAAGCCTTTTCCACTCGCCACCTCCAGGGAGTACTCAATCAGCAGCAAAACACTCATAACCTAGGAGGACAAAAGCAAAAGACACAATTCAGTGGGCCTTGGGCCAGCTTCCTATCATCAGGTTTGTTTCCAGGGAGCATGCGGTGGCCACAGTCCTAAATGCAGGATGGGTTTCCAAGTGAGGCAGACACGAAGGGTTTCAAATCCTGTACAAGAAAATATTGAGGCAAAAGTTATCAGGTTATGAATGGTTTGGTTTAACTGTCTTTTTCTGCCAGCTTCTGAATGAGAAAATACAGAGTTAATGAGCTTTGCTTCAACATTTCATATCCAGAAAGTCCTGGGTTTACATTTTGAACATGCATTTTGCTTCAGAATTGAACTAAATGTAACATTAGTATTTTAAAGTGTAAAAAGAAACAAAAAGAATGAAGATCTCTCTAAGGTTAGCCATGCATTGACAAAAATATAATCCTCCTTCTTTTCTTTATTTGAGAAAAATCTCCAAATGTGCTTTTTTTTTTTTTTCACATTGAGCCACAATGATTTCCTCCAAGTTTCTGATTTGGACAATCAAACCCAGACCCAGTTCATTCCATGCTGAGTTTAGCAAGCTGTGAGATGGAGTGAGATAGAGCTGTGGTCTCAGTCCTAGCACTGGAGCTGCTCTAAGGTCTCCCCTTCAGGAGCCTTCTCTTCTCCAGGCTGACCCAGCCCAGCTCTCTCAGCCTGGCTCCAGAGCAGAGCTGCTCCAGCCCTTGCAGCATCTCCATGGCCTCCTCTGGACTCACTCCAACAGCTCCATGTCCTCACCAACACCAGGACCAGCACTGGGAGAACCCTTTCTGCAGATTACCAGGGACAGGAGCCACCAACAGAAGTACCATCAACAAACAAGAGGTTGTTGTGAAGAGATGAATGAGAGAAGCCATTTCATCTGGACTGCACAACCTCTGTTTGTGCGTCATCTGAACCCCACACTGATGGAGGAAGCAAGTTTGTGTCTGCCACTAAGATCAACACAAGCGCAGGTACCACAGAACTGAAGCCACTTTCCCACAACAGCTACATCAGCTTTTCATTTCAACAACCGCTTAAAGAAGTGACGCAGGCAAGCAGGAACTGGAACTGTTGTGGTCTGTGCTTGTGTTTGCACTCCTTCTGTATGGGAAACAGCATCTGTGGGGAGATGAGGCAAACCTGGCTGAGAAGGGAGCAGAAGAGAGAATGGCTCTCATCTCTGGATGGAGATGCCTACGAGATCCAGACAGAGCTCAGGAAGGAGTAATGTATAGTCAGATGTGCTGAGGCTGACATTGCATGCAAACAAAAAACATAGAGGCATGGAAAGGAAGGTTTTGCATTGCCCCAGAAATGAGGAAGCATGGCTGGGACTGCAGCAAAGACAGGAACTGAATGCAGACTCTCCCACTGTCTCTGTGTGAGCTGCAGAAGTCCTAGAAACTGTTTTTGTCACCAAATTGATGGACTTTCTGCACCATGAGCTGCAAGTACAGCTTCCAAAAGAGCTGTAGCACATCCCTCAGAGCCCTTTGCTTCTAGGCTATCATCCACCAAACCACACTCTTGCTGCAATGGCGACTGGGACCGTGTCCCACCATGAGCCTTCCCTTTGAGCTTTAAGTCATGCTTTCTCCTGGCCTGTCTGGTACCAGGTTGTTCAACAGCTACATGACACACACAGCTTTTGGTTTTCATTTATTTGCCATGCAGTAAATGAACTTGGCAATCTCTAGATCTCATTACATAGGGACACAGGAAACTTAAAGGGGATTTAGTTTAATGTAACAGCATTTAAAGCCCCATGGAAACACTGAAACTTGTCAAGGATGAAATTGTATTGATCTGAAGTTTCCTTACACCTGATGGACACCCCCGGGGATGTGAAGGATCTCTTAACTAACTCCACATGGAGATCACATGCTGACTTCAAGTGCTCTAACTCATCTGAGAGATTTCATGTACAGGCTCCCAGAGAGATTTCACTTCCCTTGTGGCTGTTGTTGGTCAAATCCCTCAATTTGCAACATGGAGAAATATAGGAAGAAATTGCTTTTTCAGGTTTCTGTTAAACGGAGGCCTGAGCCAAAGGGATGATATGAGCACTAAATACCAGTTTCATTCCTGAAAGACAAGTGAGTTAAAGTAGGGTATCAGATCACAAATAATCCCAGGTTTACAGCCAGAGGCTAAACTTCAGTATTAAGAACCCCTCTAGTATCTTATCAAAGAGGGGAACAGCAGAATAAAAGAGGCTGTGGTTTCCTTGCAGGTGTTGAAATGAGCCACACAACCAGACCCTCTGCAGTCACACAGAATAAGTACACATCAGATAGAAAACCCAAGCCTCAACTGAAATTTAGGGAGAAGGCTTTTAAAGTGATAGCTGGGGTTTAAACTTGCTGTTTAAAAGAGTTTTTGCATGGAAAGGATGAGCCACTGAACTGCAACAAGACAAAACAGGCAACGATCTCTGGGCCTTTCCCTTGGCTCTCCATCACAAGCGCCACGTGAGGACATCTCCATCACCTGCCTTTGCCTTTGACGTGCTGCTGCCTGGCACGTGACAATCTCATTTATTCCTGCAGAGAACAGACATGCGAGGTGATGAAACCTCTGCGGTGGGCTGCTCACCTCAATGTGAGAAGAAGGTAGAGGAAGATTGATGTGCTGATTGCTCCGCAAGGCTGTGTAAATTCTCACTCAAGATTCACCCTTCAGCTCCAGAAGAAACTGAAAAGTTCACATGTCAGAGACAGGACTGCTCAGACAAGCATCCAGTTCCCTTTCTTATTGCTATGTCACGACAGGGGAGAGGCAGGTTTAGGATTGGAAGTTTCACCTCCCAGCTAGCCCTTATTTTATCCCCTACAGCCACAACTTTTGAAGGACACCTCTCATCTTGTAGCTGCCTCTATGTAAAATGAGTGCTTCACATTTATTGATAAAAGATCTGTAACACCAGAAAATGGTGTAGGACTGAGGTAGTCATTAAATCAAGGCTGCTGCACTGGAGGTGTCTTGCAAAGCAGACTCTTACCAGCATGATGCATGCAGCCCCTGTTCCCTGGTGAGTAACTGCTGCAGCTGCAGTAGGGTTAAACTGCTCTTAGTGATCCTCCTGTGCTTTTTGCTCTCTGAAATATGTGCAGCTTGACTAATCCAAATAATTTCTCTTTATGCACATGGCCTTGGTTCTTCTTTCTTTTTCCTCTGCAAGAAGAGCTTGTAACCACAAGGAGCAGGGGTCATCTGGGACAGTGACACGCTGCTCTGGCAGTGCATTGCGGTGCTGTGAAGGTTTCTGACAGCGGTCCACGCTGACAGGTAACATCCAGCACTCTAAGGGCAAACAGCACCACAGATAAATGCTGGTACTTTGAGAGCTTAGTTTAATTTACAAGCGGTTGTTGTGGCAGGGTAGGATGAAGTGAGGAGTGCTTTTAGCTCCCAGTTGGTTTCCTTTCAAAACATTTTATCTTTTCCTGCCCGCTGCCTCCTTCTCCCTGCCTTGTTTGTGCCACAGAGATGCTCCAGGAGGATGAGGGAGCAGCACAAGGTGTTCTGAACATCTTGGGCCAGTCACAGCCTGGTGAAATCGCAATGTATTGCAGCTCTGTAACAACACGAGTCACATCCACAGGTGAGGACTGGACCTGAGGAACGTCCCAGAGATGAGACTGCTTTCCCAGACCTCCTCTGGCTCTAAGCAAGGACTGGTAGCAAATGAATTGCAGGTTTTCCACCCATTCTGTATGCACAGAAGCAACTTTCCAGCCTAATTCTTGAAGCTAATGTCACATAACCTGAGGTCTGTCTGTGCCTGGGAGGAGCTGATAAGCAGAAAGACAAGGTCCTCTATGCTTTCTCTGAAGTCACCTCACAACACCCAGTGAAGCTTTGCTGAGCACACAACTCTCTCCTGCACATTCACTTCCTTCGCCTCCCTGTTTGAGAATGCCCACAATTTACTTCAACTGTCTATGGAGAGATCAGCAGTGAGACAAATCTAATTTATAGGAGGACAAGACATCGCCACAAAGCCCCAGAGCTTCTGTTTGATGGTATTACTATCACCCAGCATCACTATGATTCATCCCTAGGACCCACAGCAATAACTTACACTGATACAAACCAACACTATTGATACAACAAATCACCCAAGTCACTGCCCAGTTATAAATCCCCTTCTCTTTTCACTCCCCCTGCCCAGTTGCAGCTACATGATCAAAAACATGGAGAAGATGCAGGGGAAAAAGTGGTTGCTATTCTGTGTCATCTCTTAAAGAAAAGACAATCTTCTCCAAAAATGAATCCGTTTTCCAAGGGGTTCTGTGTGAAAGAAGCCCACAGAGATGTTAAACTACAATTTGCCAAACATGGAAAGAAATGTTTAAGAAGGAAATGGGAGCAGAACAGAGCTGGAGGTTATTAAACACCACGAACACGAGAGTGTTCATGTAACCTCAAGCTCAAGAAGTCCTGACTGCAGGGGATGCACAGGCCAGGGATCATTTGGTGCCTGTCCTACTCCCAATATCTTCTTCTCTGAGCACCTACTGATGGCTGCTGTTGGAAACAGGCTGGGATGTTGGGGCTGACTCAGGACATCCATCCTATGACTTCTGCCTTCACCATCTTGCAGAGACAAGCAGCTTTTCTTGCCCACCTCAGTGGACCTCTAAACCTCCTCTGCAGGCTCTTTCCCGTGAGCACTGTGAAGGCTCACTCCAAGGCTCTCTGCCTTTTGCTGTTCAACACTCACCTGGTGCCTTCCACAGACCCACAAACCCTTGAATAACACATCCTTCATGCGATGTCACTGGTAATGAGGCATTCCCTGCTGGCCACCAGCACTGAACGGAGGTGTCTCACCCTCCTCCATCACACCCTGGTGCAAATCAGGAATCTCCACTGTTACTGGCATCACAGTGGAAGAAAAATGTGCCTCAGTTCAAAGCATTTACTGACTTCTGAGGAAGACAAAGGAGGCTGTTTTATGATCCACCCTCCCAGCTAGGAAAAACCATATTCATTTTCTGTCCTTCTGTCTCACCACTGATAACACATCGCTCACATCGCATGGCGCGCTCATAGCTCCCTGGAGACAACGCGTTGTAGTTCCATGTCTTGTGTTTCCCACCTTTGCACAGCCCTTTAATTTTGCCAGCGCCTCTTCAGATCTTGGCAATAATTCCTCCCAGGGTTCCATTTCTGAACAGCTCATGAGCATCCCTCTGTGATAGGTGTATGTTTAATTGCTTGTCAGGAATTGCTTGTGCTTGTGCAGAAATCAGCTTTGATCTGATTGATTTTTTTTGTATCTTGGGGTCATAAGAATGCACAAGAAAGGCAGCAATTTCTCTTTCTTTAAAGCACTGAGATGGTAAGATGTGAGCTCGTGGCAAAAGAGGTCTAGCCTGCCTAGGGTGTAATCTAGATGCTCAAAAAGCAGAAGGCAAAAAAAACTATAAAATTGCATGATTCTTTTAACCAACCTTATAATGTTTTTGAGGTCCCCAAATGATTGAAATATGGCATGGAAATGCTACTGCAGGGCCTGGCTTTCAGGTAATGCCAGGGCAAAGATGGTGGTGGTTACATTGCATGAAGATGCAGCGCAGACCCATGTTTCTCTCTTCTGCTCTGGGCTGGCATAGGACCATTTCCTATGGCGATGCAGAGAGGCTGCATTGTGCTCAAGCACAGCCACCTGCCTGGGTCACTGCCTCCAGCAGCTCACAGTGCTGCTGATTCCTGGTGTGCTCATGAAATCCTGTCATTCATGGGATACTTTCCCTTTATCTAACTACCCCCCCAAAAGCAACCAGCCGATCTTCAGATTTCTTTGCCTTTCTTTTCATGAGCTGAATCCTCCACCAACGTATGCAGGCAATGGCATCACGGAATCCAAACCCATTAAACCAGAGGGTCACATTGCTGCCTTGGCTTTGTGTGACTGAGATGGGGGCTATGGTGCAACAGGGGTTGCTTGGATGGCTCCTGCTGCCCCAGGAATCAGACTGATACTGCAGGGAGACCACGGCATGTCCTACCCATGCATGGCATGGCTGTTACGGCTGCCATGCTCAGCATGTATTTGCAGGCTACAGCTCCACTTCTCCCATACAAGGAGTGGATTGGGAGCCCCTGTTAACGTTATCACCCTGCAGCCTCCCAACCCATGACTCTGCACGCTGAGCGTAACACATGGGGTTATTTTAAGTGCCTCTGCTGTGCGAGAAACCACATCCTCAGCGTGACTTAAAGCCACCTGAAAGCAACCAGGCGGTGTGGAAGAAACGTCCCCCATGCTCCTCTGCCTCTGCTTGATGCCATCTGTGCCCACCCCAGAGCGGTTACACCAGCTGCCTGGCTGCTGAACACAGCCACGAGCTGCAAATGGAAACCGAAATGGTGCATATAGTGTCCAGAAATGAGGCAGCTTCATCGACCCACCCTTTGCTTGCCTGGAGCCCAAATCCCTCCTCCCTGCAGTGATTCCTAATTGCAGTTCTCCCATTGCCGATGTGCTGCCCAGTTTTGTAACGACAGGTCCAGGGAGCCACGCTGAGCCCTGGCCAAGCTGCACACCCCTGCGTGGGTAAGAGCTCCTGCATTTAGCTGCGAGGGAAAAACAGGAAGCAGAGTGAATTTCCATGAGCTCCAGTTGGTAGAGCCAGGGAAAAAGCAGTTGAAAAGCCCTCCCAGTGCAATAGATTTCTTCCTGCTCCCCCTTTCCAGCACCTCTTTTGCCCATCCCTCTGCAATCGTTGTGTTTTCTCTTTTGGGAACACAGAAAAGTCAACAGCCAGGAAACCTTGTGCTCTGCAGTGAAGACACCTTCTGCAAAGCTCACACCTCCGCCTCTCTTTTCTTGTCTCCCTCTTCCTATGCCCCCCCTTTCAGTCCTATGACTTACCATGTGGAAGATCCCTAGAGCCACTGTTGCTGTCTTGATGTTGAAGAAGCAACATTTGGGGGGCTCGGTGGTCGTTTGGGCACTCATTTTCTGCTCCCTCTGCACAGCTGTGAGTTAAGGAGGTTGAACTCGCAGCAACCGCCCCACAGAAAAGCGAAGCGAGTTGTTCAGCTCCACTTCCTTCCTGGTCTATAAATGTGTTAAGTCATCTACAAAGTCACATGAGGGCTTTGATTTCTCAATAATAAAGCAAGCAAAATCATGTTGCTTTTCTAACAGATCTTTAACTGCTTGCATAGTCCAGATGGCAAATACAAGCACAAACGCTGCTTTGGGCAGGTGGTGTCCAGCAAGTGAGGTATAGGGGCAGAGGAGGGATCTGAAGCAGGACATAGCTTTGTCCTACAAAAATCATCAGAAACAAAAGCAGGGGGCCAAGAATCTCACCTTAAACTTGACCCGCTGTGTTTGCAGAGCAGCATCCAAGTGCCTCAGCTTGAAGCAGCTTGTTCCCTGCCAGCAAAGTCACCATTCCTTGGAATTGCTCCTGGGAGCTGCTGCTTGAGCAGCTCCGGACTCTGGGACTGGAAGAATGGTGAAGGGTTGTTGGCTGAGGCATGTGCAGTTTTGCTCCTGGTTCATGAGACAGCTGATGTGATTTATGTCCATCAGCTCCTGGAAAAGAAGCACCAGAGAGATGTGAGCCTGGTGACTTGGCCACTGTGTAAGGTGTCAGACTGTCTACCCCTGCTTGAACCCCCTGAAATCTGCTCCTTGCTACATATTAATGGCCATTCTCATAAACCCCATGCTTCCTGGGAAAGGTCTGGAATGCCACAGCAGGGTGAAGGCTCTCCAGCAGCCAGGTAAATGTGATGAGAGTGCTGGACACACTCAAACAAGCTCTCAGGCGACTTGTGTGCCAGCATACCTGGTCTCAGCCTCCCAGACGTACTCACTGAGTTGCTTCATGCTTCCAGGACGCTTCCCAGCTAACATGAGAGCCCTGCAGTGTTTAGGCAGAGAGTTTTCTTGGTTGTCCTCATCAAACTAAATGCACGAGTTCTACCTCGATGCCAGGAACTGGCTGTTCTGTAGCCCTCCAAATCGGCACCGAGCACTCCATGTCCAGCTATGTTATGGGAGCGTGCTGGAAAGCTTCAGTCTGGCTGAGTGATGTTCCCAAATGCCACAGAACTTCCATAGGGATGTGCTTTTAGAGAAAGTCAGGAGTTCTGGGCAGCAATGGTAGGAAACAGAAGTAACTGAAAGCCCCTGGAGACACTGCAGCCAAGACAGGGTCAACTTGTGACTTAAATCCACAAGAGATTGGCCATGCCTTTATGTCCAGGATGCCCTTCCAGAGCCAGGGATCTCTGCAGCACAGCCGTTTCACAGCAGAGCAAGGTCAGTGCAGTTGGGTCCTGTTGCATATTCCCATGGTTTTCTTTGGAATCTCACCAAATCCGACAGTTTATTACTGAAGTCCCAAGTTGTGGAGTCACATGGTTCTCTCTCTTTATTTTTTCTCCCTTTAAGGATGCCTTTGTGTTTTTCAGTCTTGGATTTCTGGGAAACTGTTTGCAAACAAGAGCAAAGAGTAGCTGAACAGAAGAAGATAAGGGATTCTCTCCCTTTTTATTGCACTGTTTGGCGATTTCACTGCATTTTAGCCAATCTCATAACAAGCTAGGGAAGAAGATGGACTCATATGCTTCAAAACCCTGAGGACAGCAGTACAACTCCTGCCCTGTGGTGGGCAGGAGGCTGAAAGCAGCTTGAGGAAGGAATGGGAGATAAATGATGAACAGTTGTTGTAAGTTTTAGTGGACTTCAGACTAGGTTTAGATTAAATCCTACCACTTTGGGGTCACTTCTGCACCAAATCAGGTCACTTTTGAACCAAATCACTCGCGGCTTATGACTGGTAAAATTCTGACATCACTGTTGGTTGCTACCTTTATGACCTGCGCTTTTCAGGCAGAAAATGAGGTGGGGTCAGCACATTATTCAACATAGCCTCTAACTACTATTAAAAACCATAAACCAGCTGCAAAAGTTCACTGGTGGATCCATAGTAAAACATGGAATTGAAACCTCTTCTCAAGCAGGGAAAGCACAAAGCCATAGACGAGCACTAAAGGCAGCACAAGTGATAAGCCCTGCATCTATCAAGACCCCTGGGGTAGCTAGAGCTACATCACGCCACAATAACCATAGACTCCCAGACTGGTTTGGGTTGGAAAGGACATTAAGATCATGCAGTTCCAACCCCCTGCCATGGGCAGGGACACCTCCCACTAGACCAGGTTGCTCAAGGCCCTGTTCGACCTGGTCTTGAGCACTGCAAGTCTGGAGCACCTTTAACAGGGTTAAAAATAATATATGGTTTTAGAAACCGATCGGTTTAAGCATCTTTCATTTACAAATCTCTTGCAAATACAGGTTTTGCTTTACCTTCTCCACATGAAATGTGCTTTCTTTGGGGTTTGCTTCCCCTCAAAGCCATGTTGTGGACCCAGCCCGATGAAGGTGCAGGGGGATCAAGTATTTCCTGCTAATATGAAAAGCTGGTTTATAATTTGAACCTGATTTGCTTGGAAAGTGTACTTTCCCTTTGCAATCCCCCCTGTCCTTTTAGAGGCAGACAGAAGCTTGCTTGTGCGAGCGTACCATACCCAAACTTAGCTCACAACATGTAAAAACAAATAGAAAGTGTGGCCCAGGCTGGGCTGTTGGCTTCAAATAGACCTGTGCTGCCTGAATGCCACTGCGTATTTGCCTGACAGCATTATCCTGAGTGGCCCCTTTCAGTGGTCTGCATACCAGCCTCTTCAGACACCCAGACCGTTGCTGAAAGATCAGCGTTGTAGGAAGTTGGTCGGCTCTAAGGAACACAGCCTGGGCTTTTTCATGAAGCTATGGGCATGTATTTTATATGCAGAGCCTTGCCCTGATTCCTTCCTGGAAGCAATCCCATGTGGGACCCATGGTGTTTGAGGGGTGTTGGTCCTTCAGCTTGATTCACAGCGTGCTGCCATTGGAAGGCATCTCCCATCAAGACACCTCCTTCAAAGAAAGCCCAAGGAGAGGCTGGAATGAGCCATGTACTGCTCTCCTTTGCATCCGCAGCAGCAAAATGCTTCCTGGGTTTGGGTGTGCTGCTCCTTGAGGAAAGCAGAGTTGAATGGGAGTGTAGGACAGCCACTGTGAATAAATCAGAGCTGCCAAATTGCCTGCGTTGCTCAGAAGGGTATTAACACAGCTGTATGCTCCCTGTCTAAATCGTTATGCCTAATTCCAACATCATTTCAGGCATGCGCTGTTCTATAGAGGGACAAATATGGAAGAGGTTGGGTTAGGAAGACAAAGCTTTTAGTCCGAAAAGCCTGTGCTGACTTCACAGATGAGGAAACAAAGTACAAGGAAATTAAGGAGCTTTCCCCAGAGAAACAACCAGCCAAGAACAGAGCTGACTTGTGCTTAAGCTTCCTGCACACAAACTTCTAACACCCTCCTTGTAACTGGCTCCCAGTTTCCATGCAGCCCTGATCCTGCTTAGTCCCAGGTCTGGCCCCCGCCAGTGGGAAATGTTGCTTCTGTCCTTCCTAATTGGCTTCCTCCAAAGCATTGCTTCATGTATTTGCACTTCAGAAGAAGCCAAACAACAATGTGAGAGCCTTAATGAGGGAAGTGCTGCATGCCAGCAGAGCAATAAATCTCTGGCAGAGGCTGGCATTGGGTCTGCTACCGCAAATTCCTGTTGCAAACCAGTTGGGCTCAGGCATTGGCTGCTGCCAGGAAAAAGGGAGAGTTTGGTTAAGTGGCTGACAAATGGCTTCTGCTTCTGGAGTCTCCTAATTAAACTGAATGCACTTGCCTGTCAAATGCATTTACAAAGGGAGGTTTGTAAAGATGCAGCCACTAAAGGATGAAACAGAAGCGAGAACACGTGCACTCATTGAATCCTCACTGCCTCGTGCCAGATCACATATGAAAGCCCGCATAGGAGCACATAGGGCTTTCTCCACAAGTCAGTGGGTCATGGGCATTTGCACTTGCTTGTGAGATGTGATGAGAGCTCTGTGTCATGGGGTCCTGCCTTGGGTTTAGGTGAAGAGTCCTTGTAAGCCAAAGTACTCCTCAATCAGTGCGTTTTACAGGCCAGTGCTTTGTTATCATCTCTACCTCAGTCCATTCATCTGAACCCCACTGCAGCCCCATTGAACTCTCTGTAGCAGGGGGTTGGAACTGGATGAGCTTTAAGGTCCCTTCCGAAACAAACCATTCTATGAGTCTCACAGAGGGGCTGTTTTGTGCTTTCCAGAGGCAATCACTTGGGTTCCTCTGTTCCCCCTGTAAAGCCTGCTGTCTCCAAACAGCAGTGAAAAGGTGAAACCTTGAATTCAAAAACAGTCATGATACAACATGGGAATTACATCACCATGAGTCAAAAAAATACTTTCAAATATGGTTTCAAACAAAGGTAAAAACCAATATTCCAGAGAAACTTAGCCCATGATGCTCTCTCTTGAGCTGACTGCTTCAGCAGGGGTATTTTGGGGAGGAAGTGCAAGTGGGTACCAAGGAGACGCGGCTGTGGATGGGGTTATTGCAATAGCAGCACAGCTGGGTTTTGTGATACTCCCAGCCTCACTCCCCCAGGATCTGAGGGCCATGCTGACCGGTCTTTCTCCTGCGTCTCCAGCCTATGCCTCCTTCATGCAAACCCTCACCAAGCCCAACAAGGAAGGTTTTCAACCTGCCAGCATTTTAGACTTGATGATAATAGTGAAAAGTGTCAGAAATGATTATTTTCTGAGTATGAAAACTAAAAATCCCCTCCTCATAGCCCTGTGCAGTCAGAAGCTCTCTAAGGGCTCAGAAGAGGAAAAATGATCATTTTGCTTATTCTGAGTGACAAGAGCAATCTATTCATTAATGTGAGTTTTGACCATCAGTTCATAATGCTTTATGTCTATGCTGATGTGTGTTTTGCCATTTGCTACTTCTTTTATTGCCATTATGTGACGTGCTTTATTCATTGCACTGGGATTTATATCTGCCCTGTTACCTGGTTTATTCCTTCATTATATTTTATATCAGGTTTCCTATGCTTGATGTCCATACAGCCTCACTCTAGATATGCTTTACTGTATTTTATACATTACTTTACATGCCTG